TTGGAAGAAAACATTAGTATTCTGTGGCTCATGTTTTGATGTCTTCCTATTTTCGCCCGCTTCTTTGTTTTCTCAGTACTGTCATACCTATCGCTACAGAGATTCGAAAGTCTTTCAATTGCAACCTTCACTCCTCATAAAAAACAAGGTGTGTTGTTGCTGTGACTTAGCTGACTTGTCTGACAGTAACATCAGAACAAGCCCACAAAATTCATCGCGGCGAGCAGTGCAAGATGGCGCTTGTCGTTGACAAGAGCCTTGAACATCATGCAGGTGACATTACGACTTTAATCAGTTCTGCCCCCAATTTTGACGGAGAGCAGCCAAAGGAACGGGTCCAAAGATCTCCCACCCTTCTTCCCCCAGTACCAACCTCTCAAGAGATCTTTTGGCTGACCGCATATTTAGAGTGCCCCCATGCATCACAAACATTATACATTTGCGAACATCCCTGCCTTCTCCGGGATTCGAACTCGGGCCCTTTGGTACGGCAGTCAGCGTCGCTAACCACTTTACCGGTTGCGCAGATGTACAAATTTGTGACTGTTGCCTAAATAAAAGCCACTAACATTGGAAAAATAATTTACCAGCCATTGCACGAGTGATATTGAAACTTTGTTACACAAAATGCACAAAAAGAACCAAAAAATATATATATATATATCGCTCTTAATCCATTGCTGCATTTTAACCCGAAATTTCCAATACGCCATCCTATTGCACCTATTTATGCATGTAGTTACGCAAGAAATCCATCGGCTTGCATTCTGTAGAATTTTGAATAGGTGGTTTCAGTGTTAGACACTGGGAGCGAAAAGGTTAATGGCTCATTTCAAATAAGATTGCAGAATGAAACTATGGTTTTCAGTGAAACTCCATTTGGAGGTTGAACGGAAAATTGTATTCGGAGCATGGCCTTGAAAACGCATTCAGTATTTCCTCGTTATTTGAACTTTCCTACAGAAAATCAGTGAACTGATTTATAGCCATTTGCTGAATCAAATTGTTTATTTCTGATGCATGTTCTGAGTATTTCATTCAGAAATAACGATATAAGCTTAAATGTATGCAGCTCCTTCTTGCTGTTTGTGATGACGAATGATTTGATTTTCGTGTTATGAACAAAAGCAATAGTGAACAATTTAGCTTTAAAATTTTTACGAAGTTTCCAAATGCATTTCTCTGTTTCCGAGGCAGAGGGTTATAGATTATCAGAATACATTAAAATACAGACAGCTAATTGCCTTCGTGGGTGATTTTCTTAAGAAACGTAGAGAAAACCACGATTAACACCTATGCAGCTAGACCTGGATTCGATCTTCAGTCGGATTACCAGTATTCAACGGTTTTAACCACACGGTCACTGCTTGAGACAGCGGCGTTTATCTGCCTCTGCTTCAGTATATAAATTGTTGGGACATTATGCTTTCCGTCTTCTAAATAATATCGAAGTTTCCTTTTTCTGTCAGCATCATTCTGTAATGTAAAAAAAAGTAGGAAAAATTCTAGTCCAATATTTTACAAATATGGAAAGAAACCAGATAAATATACTAAAAGGAATAGTTTTGTTTTAACGGTCGCTTGAAGAGTGAACAACTTTATCTTGACAACAGCTGTCAAGTCTGACACATTAATCAAACTGATAAAGCTTTATTTATCTGTTGCTTGGCTAATATTTAAATACATATATATATATATTTCTTAGCTATTTTGTTTTCAGTTTATAACCCCTTAAGTATACGTATCGCGAAATGTTAGTACATGTCAGGAGAAAATATTTAACCTAATTTTTAAATGTTCTAAAAGTCTCACGGTTACTTGGCTGTTATAAGTGAGGAAAATGCCTTTACAGGCATCAGAGGGATGTATTTTATATTTATATTAAAAATGCTAGTAATTTTTTTAAAAATGGTATATTTGCATCAAGTTTACCAAAATTTACATTTTTCTGAGGATTGCATTAAAGAATCTTGATTACCCACAATTACATGCATTTAAAAGTAAATAGTTTTTACACTTTGTAAAATACTTTGAGAAAATGTTATGGTGGTTAGGTTATACTGCAAATGCTCTTATACCGATAAATTGTTCAAATGAAGAGCGAATAAGAGAGCTACCGTTAAATACTTTTCATTTACACCATCTGATACATTACCTATAGGTAGGTATACTGGTAGCTAAAAACACAGGGTAATGTGCTCATTTTATTTTTCGACTGGAGAAATTTTTGTTCTAATACGTATATTTACAGTTTAATACTAATAGAGAAAACAAGTACGAGTATAACTGCCGTTACAAGGAATAAAATCTTCCTTGACTATTATGGGGCAAAAATCTCTACCGCCCACTATAAAAGATTAAATCGCCCACTAGTGGGCGGTAGGGACCAGGTTGACTATCCCTGCTTTACACGCCCCCCCTCCCATCTGTAGAGTACTATTTAGTAAAAATTGCTAATAATTAGAAAAAAGTCTTTGCTTTGAGGCAACATTGCGAACTTAAATTCATAAGTCGACAATTGTCATAAAAATTGAAACCCATATTCACCTTTTCTATTAGAGATTGAATGAATAAGACCAATAAGTTCTAAATAGTTTCATCTCAGGTTTAGTATCCTGTAGTAGTATGAACTGGTTAAAATGTTGTTTATATATGTTTGCGCATATGTATTTTCATGTCAATTTGGTTTAGAGATTCAAATCTCGCTCAAGGGTATTTCGACCAAAAAAGTAGCTGTCGGTCTATAAAAGGTGGCTTTTTCGTAGCAACTAATCCTCTAATCTCATGCTCATCTTCTTCCTACCTTAATAATAGCCTCCAAAACTTGGCGTCCGTGTAAATAGAAACTACAATTACTCCAAACTGAAATATGCTTTATTTAGCTTATTAAAAAGCAACATTTCCAATCTGTTATAAATCAAACTTATTTGCTTTTATTAAGGGGAGAGAAAAATTATGATGTCATACTAATGAAAATTTTGGAAAAAATAATTTTCTTTCTACAGAAGGAGTGCAAGACAAATCGAACTTTTTTGATTTGCTATGATAGAAGCTATTATCAATTTCACATTAGAAACAGCCTTTACTCTAAGTTACTAATATTAATATTATCAAAACAATTCGTATGGCGTATTTTGCTTTAGAATGAGTATCTTTTAAAGCGTACATCTGCATGTAGGGAAAAATACTTGTGTTTTTTTTTTTCTTCCAATCAAATCGTAGAAGTTACGCAATTAATTGTCCTCGCTAGACATCTTTTCGGCATCAGTGTCAGACTGATGGCTGCTTACTAAATACTGAGTTATCGTTTCTGTTGAAGGATTGTTGAGCTCGTGTATAATTCTTTCAAGATCGATTCGAAGTGCAAATTCGAATGGTGCTCTGAATACATTACAAAAGTCAAATATGTGTAGCAGCAGACGCAAAGTAACATTAAGACATTTATCATCTTTCAATGAAGAAAATCATTTCTTAAAATTTAATAATTTTTAAGACATTTATTTATGATCTTCCAATGAAAAAACTGAAGATGAAAAAAAAAATTGTCCTACACGAAGTAATAACAAGTCTAATCAAAAGCTGAACTTCAATTGATAAAATTATGAAGATGGGAAGCTTCTTATATTTCATCTTTAAGGGAAATAAATAACGCTAGTAATGACTACCTTATTCATATTATATCATTACATCGCACCAAACGTGAGAAGAATTTGGCTTCCGCTCTCCATAAATCGGCGCCCCAGGTGGTTCTCATTGTCGTTCTATGTCTGTATTCAGGCCTGGCTCCAAAGACCACTTCCAAGTCGTATCCGCGGAGGAAGGCGTGCAATCACCTTATCAGGAGTAAAATAATTGATTTAAAAGACATTTCATATAAGAAAATAAACACAGAGAAAGAAATTGTTAAGCTTTCATAGAAACTAGGATCAGAGAAGACCCAAAAAAGTAAGATATTTAAATTTATAGGCATTTATTTTTGTAAAATTTAATTTCGAAGAAACCAGGTGCTGCCACCTAGCAATGTGAGAGTAATTGTAGAGCAGTGTCGCCTTCTGTTGGCCAACTTTGAAAGCATATTTAATCTATGTCTTTTACAGCTCCTTTTTTTTTTTTTTTTTTAAATTGTTTTTATCGTTCTTTGATAATGTCCAACAAATGATTATCAGAAAATGAGAGATTCGTCCTTAGGTAATATTAAATAATAGTGAATACTAGATTTAAAAATGATTGTAATAGTTTTTTGGTTGAAATTAAACAGCATTTCCATCCATAGCAATTCATTATTTCAAATAAAATGTAAGCGTATCTATTAAGGTAAAAGATTTTAAATAGTAAATAAAGCTAAATAACTATGCATTGATTTTTATCATTGTTGTGGTTATATAATAAAACAAACAATATGAAGAACTTGGTTAATTCTTGAATATGGAGTTGAGGCAAGGGAGACATCATTTCAGTATTAACACTATTGAATTGATTTTTTAGATTATTTTCTTAAGCATTGTATTTTTACCAGCATTTACCCAAAATGAAGTATAAAATAACATTTTTTATATTAATATAAAATTGTTTATAAATCTAAAATGTGTCAAAGTGTTCAAAAGGGAAATTGATCTTTAGCTGCATTTTTTGTTGAAATATTATCATGATTGTTATTAAATGATAATTAATTAGCTGACAAGGCAAATTGTTTGGAGATTAAATTATACGGCAAACTAAATAAATAAGGAAAAAAAAAAAAAGGACTTACTTTTTTGGGCGGGGAGGGGGGAAGAAAATTACCAGCACTCATTTTCTTCAAATTTTCAATTAACTATGCCTATTTGGTACATTCTACAATGTATCAGTTACTATTTAAGTAATATATATGTAAATTACGCACGCTTAACTATATACATTTTAGAATTTGATTTAAAATACCGAGATACATCAGTTTAATTTTGATTGATTATTATTATTAAAATATAACTTTAAATAACGTATATTTTCTTTACTTTCAGATCAGCCCGTATTCTTACAATGAATTATCAGAAAAGTCTGGCAGCATGCACTTTGATATATTACATCTTTATAGTTATTCTAACATTTGGAAAAAATGGTAAGATTTCAGCTGTTCATGAAATTCAGCATAATTTTTAATGTTTAACAGGTGCTGCCACCTATCGACATTTTTGTTTACTATGTTTTCATAAAGTGCTATTGAATTCAAGTTTTGGGTATGAGAAGTATTATTTTAGAACAGTGCTTAGTAGGTAAATTGCGAGCAATTTTTTAGATTTTAGTCCTAATGTTTAATAGATCAGCACATATACACATCACCAAGTGCATAAATAGATTTTTATTATTAATATGGTTTATTATTGTTTTACATTTTACTTCTTTACCCAGCCCCTATCAACAGTTATCTCAGTAAACTTGAACGTGCTAAGTCTCGAGAATTTCAAATATGACTAATGATTATTTTTTTATGTAGAAAGTCGATTCCAGCAAAAAAAAAAAAAAAAGTTACCTTTTTCTGTTTTAAGATAGCTATGCTTCTGCAATGCTTATTTTACCTACCTAGATGGTAATTGGGAAGCAAATGAAAACCTGTTTACAGCACTGCGTATCTTCATCTCATTTAAGTTTATCTCAGTTTTGAACTTTTAAAATGAAAAAGAATATGATTTGAGTATAGTCAGAGCTTTAAATATTGAAGACTTTATTTTTTTAATTCATACTAGCAACAGATTCTCCTCCCTCCTTCCTGGGGGAAAAAATACGATTTAATCAGATCAGAGAAAAAAAAAATATATAGGGAAAATATTCTCATGGACGAAAATTTATTTTATGCGTTATGTCTTGCATTTTCTGAACAGCGTCCTCTTTAGCTTTTTCACAGTTGATGCTTTTGCAGTTTTAATATGTAAATATTATGTAATTTAATTGCAGTAATAATCTATCTTTTAATATTTCAGAAGAGTAAAATATAAAAATATAGTCATTCGAATTGCTTGATGTTTTTTCTGAGATTGAACAACATGTGCTAAAGAATTTTCTCTAAAAAGATATACTTTCTATGATAGTATTTGCTGCCTTTGCTCAGCTCAACTCATTGATACCATAATTTAGGTTAAAATAACAACCCAAATAAAGATTATTGGAAAAGTTAAACAACAAGAACCAACGTAATGTTTGTAAAATTGACAGGACTAGTTTTTATGGTTTAAATACAGAATTAACTTCTTAAGCTGCCTAACTGCAAATGAATGATGCTTCATTTTTACTTAGGCAGCTGAAGAAGATAGTTCTGTATTTAAAGCATCGAAACTAGCCCTGAAACCTTTACAAGCATTACGCAGATTCTTGTTGTTTAACTTCTCTAATAATCAATGATACCATACTGAAAAAAGTGTTCTCTGACATCACTTCAAAATCGTAAATTCTTGAATAGATGAGGTATTTTGGTAAATATGAATATTTTACTACTGGCCAATATTTATATAAAGATGTCACTTCCGGAACGATATGACATTAGTCTTCTGTTTCATAAATTATTGGCGACATTACGTCAAATATCGACAAGCCGTCGCCGACAATATATCTATAAAAAATATAAAATAGTAACAATTTCCTGCCGCAAATTGTTGATTGAATTAAAAAATGATTCTGGGATCAGGTTAATTTAATTTATGATTTGTTAACCCTCTCTAAAGTCCACAGATATACCTAAGATAAGAGAAGAAAACTAAACGTTATAAATAACAGTAACTTCAATATTTTCGTAGATTTCTGTATCTAGTATAACTTTCTTTGATTTAAAAAATTAAAAACTGTATTATAAAAAAAAACTTGCTTTTTACGATAATGATTGTTAGCATCAGCGTGTCATTGAAGTTGACATCCCTTGTGAAAACTCTAAACGCATTACCACAAACAGTCAATATAGAGATGGGTTTCTACGTTTTTGGTATGAGGGTTCAGTTTATCCTTTTATAATTTCATATTTCATTTCATTAATCCTCCGCCTTATTATCCTTACATGAAAGAAGGAAAGAAAGTATCTCGCAGCTCCTGGCGTAAAATGTGCAATATAATAGATTAACTCGTTATTTTATGTATTTTTTTAAAAAAATGCTTTGATTTAAAGATTTATTTTAAAATGTTTCGCTTTAAGTGTGGTTCTAATATTTGCTTTTTATGTGATAAGTGGGAGCCCTTTTTTAAGTTTCATAGCCCATAATTGTTTACACGTCAGTATCTTTTCAGTTATGTGTACTAGTTAATAAATACATACTTGGTGACTTTTTATAACAATTTGCAATGCCTACATATTCTCTTAAATTAATGATTTCATAAAAAGGCATGTTCGTTCTTTATGGTAAGATAATTTTCAGTCAGAGGGGAGAAATTATATACCTTTCAATAAAATAATTTCAGTTGGTTTGGAACAAATAGATGGAAATAAAAACCTTATGTACTATCAACAACACTACTGAAAATACCATTACGCGTAATTTTATAAAGAAATGAAACTCAATTTGTATTTTCTGGAAGAAAGACTAGAAACATTTCCATCGTATTAGCTTCCTCCTCTCAAAGAGAGCACCTTAAAACCATTGACGATATAGCTTTTTGTCTCTCCTCCTTCTTCCGGCTTAAATCGAAGTATCATAAAAACAAAATTTCATTTTCCGTTTTTTAGAGCTTATTTCGCTTCTCTAAACTGGACATTCTTTTATTATGAGAGGAAAAAGGATCCCGAGTCCGATAACCTCAGAAAATCCATAGAACTATGTTTAAATTCCTTACGAATTTAGCCATGAATTTCGTCCACTTTTCAGGTTGGTCTCCAATGTATTTGCATGCTTCGTCCATGCGTCCTTCTTATCAAGAGATTACAGTTGCATTCTTTGGCATTTATTTGTAATGCGCTTTTGTCAAATATATGTATTACTTTAATATTTCTATCGAAAAATAAGCCTTTAGTCAAAAATTCGATCTTTTAAACAATCATAAATGTCATGAGGTACTTTTGAAACAATTTTCATCTGGAGGTGTTTGCCCAAAAAACGTTAAAAACGTACAACAAACAAAATTATGCAAACACTCAAAATTTTATTACATTTACCTATTTAGGCATACATAAATTTAGTTTCTTTTCGTACTTCAAAATGAATTTGCGAGGCAGACATGTGTGCATCATTTGTATGGACATTCTGGAAAGCTTATCTCTTTCAACATGATAGTTTTCTTCTTACGAGTACTACCACAGAGATCATTGACAAAATTGTTTGCTGGAATATCTTAGAATTTTTTGTTAATGCGGACAGGGCTAGCAGGATTAAGGGGATAATGGATTAATATGCGGTTCCCCCAGTCTTTATATTAATCCAATGAGACTTTTTACGGGGTCTTTGTGCCTCCCAAGCAACATGCCTCAGGAACCTTTATAACCATATCAGCAAAGATAGGCTTTGGTCGATTGTTATACAGTAGCACACACATGAACAATGAAGATTATCGCCAAGATATCTCGCGCATCAGCCAAGGTGGACACACTGAGCATTTGGGAAATATGTTATAAAAGGTGAAGATTTCGATTTTTTTCAGTACAATAAAAATCTGGTATTGTTTGTGACGTATTTTTAAAATATGTAACAAAATTATGAGTGAATAAAAATAACGATGTTGCTTGACTGAAGGATTGTTATGACAAATAAAAATACTGCATAAGAATGAGATTTTTATCAACTAGAATTTAACAGAAAAGTAAATATTTATAATTTAGCAAAGTTTTTAAAAATTTACAGTATGCATCCTTTTGAAAAATTTAAATAGAGCTTTATACATTCCTGAATTAAACAACGTAAAATAGAGCAAGAAATAAAGTTTATGTAACATCTTTTTATTTTGAAATTTCTTCTCATCTTAAGAAGGAAGATTTAATGCATAATTTAATAACCAGCATACTTCATGACAGTTGACTGAGTTAATTCATCAAATTGAAGAATGGTTTTTTTCATACCTAAAATAAAATTGTTTATGTTATGAATGTGTTATTATCAAATTGAAGCTTTAATAATTATGTAACTTTCATGATGATTATAACTCCAATTCTTATTTTTCAAAATAATAGCAACACACTTTTGAATTATAGCATCGACAATCAAAATTCGTCCAGAATCATGTACCAATGCAATGGGAGAAAAAGGTACCTGCATGTTTGTTTGGCAATGCATTAAGCAGGACGGGATTCAGCTTGGACCTTGCGTTGATCGGTTCCTTGTTGGAACATGTTGTTCTCTACCAAAGGAAGAAGACAACTTAGTCCCTGGTTCTTCTGGATCATCATCCAATTCATCTACATTACCTCCATTTTCTCCTACCAAAGGGGATACATTCACCAAAGTAAAGCCTGCAGCTTCTAGTGTGCAAATGACTGTAACTAAACCACCGATGGTCATGACTTCTGCTCCTTTGGCGGTTGGTACTGGATCAATTACCGTTGGAACAGTGCCTTCTTCTCTAGTTCAACCTATTGCGTCATCACTAATTGCTCAAGATACTACAGCTCATTCAAGTCTTACAACAAAACCACCAACGGTTGGCGATTTCTCGGGTAAGTAATAAATGGAAGGTTTCCCGATTATTTTGTATGATAATATTTAATTCTGGTGTTCGTAATCTTCCGATACATTTAGTTGCTTAGCAAGGAATCTCGTATATAAACATCAGACCAGTCTTTATTAAGAAAATCCAGTTACAAAATCATAGACAATAAAATTATTCAGTTTTAGTAAATTACTTAATTCATATTTAAGCTAATCTATTAGCATAAAAAATTTTAATAGGAAATATTTTATGAAACAGAACCACGTATATCACCAGAAGAGGGAAATTTCTAATTTCGCTTTCGGATAACTTTCAAACTTGCTAAATATTTCATTCTTAGAAAGGCAGGTATAGACCAATATGTTTGTAGGAAGAGGAAATTTTTAATAGTTTAACGCGAAAGCGCATTAGGTAAATATAAATAAAAATGTAAGATAAATATTGCTATGTACTATTTGCTAAGACTGTGGGAATAACGATTAAAAGTAACAGTTTAGTTTGAAAGAAAAAAGTCTCTCTGTATATCTCTAGTAATAGAGGGATTCAACATTTATTCTTCATTTAAATAATGTATTGTGTTTTGAAGGCTCTGGGCAATGAAAGCGCTGCTTCTGCATTTGGAATTTTTACACGCCTGCAGCTTCACACGAAATTAAATAAACAAGAAGTATAAAAATTAGTTACCATTTCCTAGACTGTAAATTTTAGATACCTTATAAATATAGTAAAGACATAGGAATAATGCCAATAGTTTTAACGAACTTTCAGAAATAAAATATTTTATATTATGAAAAAAAATATTACTTTCAGGCAATTTTTCAAATAATTATGAATATATGAAACACGTGAAATATGCAAAATATACGCATTTGAAATAAAAATATTGTGCATTTTATTTCAGAATGTTCTAAAGCAGTAGAAAAATCTTCCTTTAACTGTTAATATTGTATGATGGTGTGATGTTGTATACACGAATATACTCTTAGTTAAATCTCTTTTTAAGTAACAAAGCACGAATAAAAGTACTTACGTATGAAAGCAACCACCTTGGTGCAATTTGATGATTTTTTACAGATGAAAAAGAAAAGTTACTTATCGGGTTCCAATTGATAGTTTTGCAAACTTTCCTGAAAGATTCCCAATTTATCAATATTTTTCGTAAGTCGGCAGATATTATCCACATTTGAAAAATAAATATACTTTAACAATTTAAAATAAAAAATTTTAAGTAAGTATCACGTGATATACTTGAAAAAATAAAACATTTACATTCAACACCAAAACTTTTTGTAATTATGTTTTCCGCTATTCTTCTCCCCAAGTACACAGCTATCTGTTTTTGTTTAAAAAACGTGAGATCGCTTAAAAAATCGCAAAGACTCGACATCTTCTCTGTTCCCTTTAGAGATTTTGTTGCAAAATTCTGAATTCCTGCAGAAACTTTACCGCAGTTTTTTTTATTGTTAACAAATTGTCCAATAATATATTTTAAATTTAAGGCAAAAAATATCACGGCTTGTTTATAAAAACCGTTGGAACTTGGAATACAGAACAGGGAATGTTTACGAAAATAACGATGTTGCTTGACTGAAGGATTGTTATGAGCATGGTTGTCTGAAGACTGTTTGTGGGAATGGTTGCCAAAGTTTGGCTACTTTTTCTAAGGAGTTTGTAATAACACGTTAAGTATCAAAATCAATAAAAAGACTAAAAGGTTTCAACAAAATAACAGATAAAATCGTATTTGAGCAAGGGAACTAACTCAAACTTTCAATAAATTTTTATGAAGCGCTGGAATCTTAACTAAATGCGCAAAATACTTACAAGTAATTCAAAGCTGCTACTTTCCAAATCGATTTTTTTACACTCTTTTAAAAATAAAATATGAGATACAGACCAGATTTCTGATAAGTCATTTAGCTTTTTGATGGATTAGTGAAGTACTGCCGTTTGAAAATACACTGGTGTGCAAAAATTAAGGACGAAGTCGAAATATTAGTATATCAGCTGAACGAAGAGGCAGAGCGGACAGAAAGACCAATCAGGAGATTAAGTAAGGTGATGTACGGTAGCATATCCGCAGATATGCAGGTAGACGTAATGGGGGAGTGTCTGAGTAGTATAAAGCATGTTGTCGGTGTAAGATCAGTATTTCTGGCAAAGAGATTGCACGCCGTATAGCAGTTAAAATCACACCGAGTTTTTGCCTCAGCGAGAAATGGCGAATAATCAATCTGTTAGACGACATCTGGATGCTTTTACCCGAGGTCGAATCATTGGGAAGTTGGAGGAAGGCCGCAGTGTGACAAGTGTGGCTGCAGAGTTCGGAATTGCTCACAGCATCGTTTCACGACTTTGGAGACAATTTCAAACTACAGGAACAGCTATCCGGGGGTTTAGTAGTGGTCGTCCACGAGGAACCACACCCGCAGATGACCGGTATATTGCCTTACAGGCCAGAAGAAGAAGAAACAGGCGGCAGACAGTTTCGAGAGAGAAATCGCTAGACACACGACACAGGCGACTGGACGACCGATATCGCGTTTTACCGTGGCCAGAAGACTGCACGGTGGTGGTCTGTTTGCACGACGCCCTGTACGGTGTGTACCTCTAACGCCTGCCCATCGGAGAAGGCGTTCTCTGTGGTGCCGGGAACACCGGAATTGGAGGAGAGACAATGAATGGGGACGAGTACTCTTTACAGATGAGAGCAGATTCAGTCTGAGTAGCGATTCTCATCGCATACTCATCTGGAGAGAGCGGGGAAGCCGCAATCATCCCTCGAACATCATTGAAAGGGACAGGTATGGAGGTGGTGTTCTCGTTTGGGGAGGCATCATGCTTGGTAGTCGTACAGACCTTCACATCTTCGACGCAGGTTCAGTCAACGGGACCCGTTATTGTAACGAGATTCTTCTTCCATATGTGCGTCTTTTTAGAGGCGCTATGGGTCCGCAGTTCCTTTTCATGGACGACAATGCACCATGTCATCGCACAGTAGCTGCCGAACAGCTCTTAGAGAGTGAGGATATTGAACGTATGGATTGGCCGGCACGATCTCCGGATCTCAATCCCATCGAGCATGTATGGGATTTTCTAGGCAGACGCTTGGCAGCTCGTACCTTACCACCAGTAACGATTCCGGAGCTTCGATTGGGGCTGCAAGACGAATGGGCAGCAATGCCTCAACAACTCATTGACACCCTCATTCTCAGCATGGGCAGACGCTGTGAAACCTGCCTAGCAGTCAGGGGAGATCATATCCCCTATTAAAGACCGGATGTTTCTTGCTGGACACCCATCACAGGGATGTTTCGTCCTTCAGTCTCATTGCGCTCCATGCTACTTTTTCAATAAAGCTTCTTTTTATCCGTCTGATTTCTCTTTTAGTAAGTGTTGCTTACGTTACTCATGTCCTTACGTATTGGGGATCTTACGGTATTAAATGTGTTGATTTGGAAAGCTTTTGTACAAAGTTATATTGAAAAAACCGTCTCGTCCTTAATTTTTACACACCAGTGTAGATTTCATATGAGAAAATGTTTCTTATTAAATAAGTGAAATGAAGCAGCACATCTTGGTCAAATGTTTATGTTTAATTATAGTCTTCATACGCTTTGTTAATAGATATCGCATACGAAATCCTCTGTTTGATTTTTGTACCTAATACTTTACAGCATGTGGCATCCCATCTCCCCATCCGAAGATGAAAGTAGTTGGTGGAACACATTCTTCATTTGGAGAATGGCCGTGGCAGGTAATGACACTTATAAAAATTCTAATTCTTAATATAATCTCTATTTTCACCTTTCGGTTTACACCATCAGCTAAAAATACATTACATCGCTTAAAATGCGAGCTTTTAATTAGATTAGATGGTTTCTTTTATGATGCTTAACTAAAATCCTGTATTTTTCAAGGTGTCTGTGAGAAGATCTTCATTCTTTGGATTCGCTAGTACGCACCGTTGTGGTGGAGCAATTCTAAACGCGAACTGGATTGCAACTGCTGGTCATTGCGTGGATGAGTAAGCGTATTTAAAATGTTCATAATTAATCTTTGAGGAAAGGTAGTTGTCTGTTGATAGTAATCTGCACTAAAGGATTATTGAAAGGAACTAATGCGTATCCCAGCGTGAAAGAGAAAAATAAAAGAAAATTTATAATATTTTATGGTATTTTATGGTAATAACATTTGATTCCTAAAATTGTAGTGGTATTAATAAAATTAAAACCACCTTTTTAATAGGAAAAAATATATCCTAAAGAAGGTTGAAAGGGATCACAAGAAAATGTATAAAAAATGAAAACATAAAATGGCTTTTCTATTTCTTTAAAATATACTTAATTTTAATCATTATAGTATAACAGCTGCTTATCATTCACGAAATTATACTGATTATTTCTTTTCTGTACTGTTTTAAAGTTTTTCCATTAGACCTTAAGAAATATTTAATGATTTTTTTTTAACTTTCTAAGTTTTACATCCGTAGTAAGCGCGGGTAACCGTGCGGCGGAAGTGACGTCACAGAAAAGGGGCGTGGCCTCCGCCATTTTGAATTTCTCCGGAAGTGACGACACCAGCGCCATCTTGTATCAATCACGTGATGGAATGACATCATCAAACTTTTCGTTTTTGATTCTGTGGCAACGATTTTATGTTTTCAAAGTTTTTATTTTTTGTGGCAACGACACTATTTTTATGTTTAAGGCAATGAGCTCTTAACCACGTGTTTGGCAGGACACCAATTTTAATTTATTGTTTTTAATTATTTAATACGTGATTAATTATTTAATACGTCATTACTTTTAATTATTTACTCATTTTTATACGATTCATTTTAATTATTTAATCCGTCATCATTTTTAACTAGTTTTAATTGATTCCATTATATTTTAATCCATTTTAATGAATTTTAAAATAAACTCCACCGCCGGGATTCGAACTCGCTATCTCTGGGATGGGAGTCTAGCGCTTTACCGCTCGGCTACCCGGTCCTTTTATCAGACTTGTTATTTGAAACTCTATTTGGCCCTTTGACTTTTTGCACCATTGATGACATAAGGCTGAAAGTCTGCGCATGCGCTTTGACATGAATTTGTTTTTTCAACGGCGAACGAAAACAATCGTAACCAACAGATTCTTGCATTTGCTTTTCTATACCACAAATTACATGTTTCTTGAAACGGCTAGGATTTCTTTTGGCTTTCTTAATCATTACTTTATTCATTGCTGTTTTAAATGTAAGATTTTCCCACGGTTTTAATTTTTTTTTTTATTATTAAGATATTTTTAATTGTTTTCAATTTTCATCTCATTCTTACTCATTTTTTAAGTTTATTAGTTAATTTATTAATTTTATTTCATTTTTTTTCCCTTTCCCAAACATAAGTTTTATTTTTTTTAACTTCAACAAAAGTGAATTAAATTTTCTTTTTACTTTTTATCTTGCAAAGTTTATTTTTTTTATATTTAATTTTCTTTTTGGTTTTACAAAAGTAATATTTATTTTTACGAATTGAATTTTTCCTTTTCATTTTTTTATTTTGCAAAAGTTTTTTTTTTTTTCCCAAAATTTTTTTCTTTTTCGTATTTTTACTTTACTTTATTTTAATTTTTTGTTTAACTTTCTTTTTTTGGTTTTACAAAAGTAATATTTTTATTTACGAATTGAATTTTTCCTTTTCACTTTTTTATTTTGCAAAAGTTTTTTTTTTTCCAAAATTTATTCCTTTTCGTATTTTTACTTTACTATATTTTACCTTTTTGTTTAAACTTTTTTTTTTTTTTTTTGGTTTTACAAAAGATATATTTATTTTTCCAAATTTAATTTTCCTTTCCGCTTTTTATTTTAAAAAAAGGTGTTACTACATTTTTAACTTAATTTTTTTTACAAAAGTAATATTTAGTTTCATAATTTTAATTTTTTTGAGTTTTTTGTTTACACAAATGTGTTTTTTTTTTTTTTTTTTTTTTTTTTTTTGTTGTTACATTTTTATTTTACCCTTAACTTTTTTCCCTTGTTTTAAATACAATACGATGTTACATTTTCATTTCTCTCCAAAAGTAAACTTACCTACATTTCTGTGTCTTTGAAATTTTAAGCTGGAATTTACATTCATATAACTTCACCAGATAATATTTTCTGTAACATTAAGCCAATATACACAATGCTCTTTCTATATAGTTTAACTGGAATACTACATTTCTTACTTTTTTACTACTAAGTTGGAGATACTCAGAACTTTTCCTTCTAATGCATTGTACTAACTATTAATGACTGTATTAACTTTTTGGCCAACTATACAAAACTTTGTTGATTCCCTTTTACACGTCTTACTTTTATTCAAAGGATTCACCAAACTATGTCTGACAAATGTAATTTTTACACTTTCCATTTACACATTTACCCTTATATTTAACTTATAAAACATATTCATGCTGTATTTCTGATTCCTTTTCCCCATAATAAATACAGTCTTACACATGTTTCTTTATTGTAAGACCTACTGACTTTAAATAAATCTTCTAAGGAGCAATAAATTTTCATGGTATGAAGCCACTCAAACCAATGCATGGAACATTTCTACCCAGTTAAGTTTAGATACATACCAATAGTACTTCATTTCTTCTTATTTTACTCTACAGACATTTATACATATATATTCAGAACACTCCCTTTTTATTCAGTAAGATTCATTTATACTACTAACACAAATTTTGCTAACTCTTTTGAAATATTTTACAAAAATATCTTGTATTTTCTTGCACACATCCTACTTAAATCACCAAACATACATTGAACCTTGATTTTTCCTTCATGTGAAAACGTCACTCGGATTCTTAATATGATTCCCCCATTTACCGCAGAACTTTATAAACACTACTATATTTGAACTTATCACAGCCTTACTCTCTTAACAAGGTACAGAAGATTGAATTATATTTTAACTACAGACAAGAATATCCACATTGTAACGTATTATTTTAAATTTGAATTATAGTCACATTTGTGAAGGAGAATTTAAAGAATACACATGGAATTATTATTCAGTCATGGCAATGAAACTTTATCGATTTTTTCTCAACTTGGAATATAAAAATTTGTTAACTTGGAATATTTTTAACGTATTCATTGTAAATCAACTGAAAAATACCCATATTTCACATTGTCAATAATTTATTTAGCACTGAACTCTTACAGCCTATTGAGAACGAAATTTATCATACCTGACAAATGATTCCTACATAGTAATGATACATTACACGAAATATTGAGTAGAGTTCCAAATAATGATCTAACATAGTAATTAATATAAAAGACCTAACACAAATAATTTTAAGATAGAAATTTCAAACTGACATTGCTTAACTCTTACAGCTTTATTTGATATTTAACTTCTCATAGATAGTAAATAAACCTACACACAAATAATTATACATAACAGGTAATAATGACAGAAACTCCATATAATCTACTATAATTACCAACTTTAAAAATTTTAACGCTTTTTAATATGTCACAAGAAAGACCACACTTTCAAAAAAGCATTATTTTAATTAAACATTGGAGTCATACAATCCTGCCCACATGTTTTTATTTATCATGAGCATGACACATAATAAGTAAATAAAATACATTTCACAAAGTACGAAAAGCATTTCTCTTTTAACCGACTGTAATCTTAAGAAAAATGCAGTATGGAATGCTTAGAACACTCAGTGCCACAGTTCCTCATTTACCCCACGCATTGATACCAAAATATACATGTACTTTTAAAATCAGTTAGTTAAACAAATTCAAATGTTAGTATTCAAACAGGAATACTTCACAAATTAGATGAAAGAGAGGTACACAATGAACTTGAGTGATAAATACAGAAAAGCATGTAAAGACCGAAAAAAAGATGTATTCGTGGAGAACTTTTTAAGATAAAAACTTGCTCTATTTTTGCACATGGGTTACATATTGCATTTCAGATTAAGGAAGCATTCAAGATAATTCCTGTATAAATGTATAACTAGGGATTTTATTCACACTTGTTAGTAATGTAATTTATTAGAACAGTCGCAGATATATAGGACAAGAATGCCATTTCCAAGGAAAACAATTTTCCAAGACAGACGCTAATAGTGAAATATAAAATGGAATAAGAAAATACCATATTTCCAACAAAATTAGTATCTGAGTATGCAAAAACATGAACAAGAAACGAATATTTTTTCTGAAAATGCTCAGAATGGTTTAAGTCAGGATTAGTTTCATGAACAGAGCATGAAAATTAATGATGAATTTTTAATTTTATTTTGTCTGTAGTACATTTACTAATGCTAAAATCTTCCATTTGGTTGACTGTACTTTACATTGAGACGCAAGTTGATAAATCAGAGTGATTTTGTTTTAAAGCTTCAAATTCAGAAATAATACAACTCAAAAGCAAAAAGATTAAAACGACAAGAGAATATACTGCAAGCAAGCGAGCGTGATAAATGACTTTTTGGGCTGATTTTCATGAATTCATAGATCGGGTGAAAAAATTTTAATGCACTGTATATGAACTATTTTTCAAATGTATTACGATCACTGTTTTCCAACTTTACATAGACTTTAAATATGTAATGTTGCGCGCTTCCAACCTGCACGCAACAATAGTGGTGACTGCTAAGAACTGGAAAGTAGACAAAGTCTTGAGAAGGGTTTAAATCCCTTTTTATTCAACTTTAGAAATTACAAATGCGTGCTCTTGACGCTCAGAAACTACGCCGACCCGGCGGTAAAATAAAAATAAGAAACTAAAAAAAAAAGAATACTAACAAGTGACTAACTACGAGGCTCTCTAAACGTAACTAACCTCACCGCGTTCTAAGATACCGCTGATAATTCAGCAAACTTCTGAATATTGCGTTGAAAGATTAACAATCTGCCGAGGCAAGCACACAGGCCGAAACGCGTGGTTCTTCAATTTCTAACTAGCCACCTCCACGCTCGTAAAGCAAGAAAAGCACACTTTCGAAATCGTTTCCCTT